TTTTCCCAGGGGAGCTTATTAAATGCGAGACTCTATGCTGGGTGCTGAGGAAATAATAACACATATAAGAAATGGTCCCTACACTCAAGTTTATAATCTAGTAGGGAGCTATATACTTGTGAAACAGTGCATGTCATGGGATATGTGGATAGCAGTCCCTGTGGACACAGAAGAATCAACTCATCAGAGACTCTGAGAGGCCTTCACAGAGTTGGGCCCTTGATTGTTTCTTTTAAACTGTCATGAAAATTAGGCAGTCTGATTGGAATCTTTTTTTGTTTGTTTGTTTTTTGTTTGTTAATCCTCACCCAAGAATATTTTATCACTGATTTTTAGAGAGTGTGGAAGGGAGGGGGAGAGACAGAGAGAAACATCGATGTGAGAGAGACACATCGATTGGTTGCCTCCCGCACGTGCCCCAGCCAGGGCCAGGGATCGAGCCTGCAACTGAGGTATGTGCCCTTGACCGGAATCGAACCCAGGACCCTTCAGTCGGCGGGCTGGCGCTTTATCTACTGAGCCAAACTGGCTAGGGCTGGAATCTTAAAGACTGAAGAACAGATCTTGTCAAAATTCACTTCTCAAGATCTGATCAAGAACACCGGCCTCTGAGTTAGAAGACCTGGGTTCTAGTCCAAGTTCTGCTATGAGCTCATTCTGTGACCTTGAGCAAGATATGTAATCTCTCAGGATCATAATGTCCTTGTTTCTTAAAGGGGTAGTTTGGAAGAGGTAATCTCCATGGTATTTCCTGGTCCTAAAATACCTTTCTTCCTTTGTTCCTAACATATTACACAAATGAATGAAATGAAAAAGGAAAAGAAATTAGAAATTAGAGCAAGTTTAGTCATGGCGGGGGAAGAATGAAACTAAGGTTATGGATTCTACCAACAAAGAAGCAGTCACCAGCGGTCACTTCAGCATGCATTAGACCAGTGGTGCATCTCTGAACTTGAAAGGTTGTTTCATATTTTTAGAAAATATATATTTTTATTGATTTCAGAGAGGAAGGGAGAGGGAAATTTACATTATGATTCATAACAGTAGCAACATTACAGTTATGAAGTAGCAACGAAAATAATTTTGTGGTTGGGTCACAACATGAGGAACTGTATTTAAAGGGCCAGAAGGTTGAGAACCACTGCATTAGACTGAAGGGGGCATCTCTGAACTTGAAAGGTTGGCTCATATTTTTAGAAAATATATATTTTTATTGATTTCAGAGAGGAGAGAGAGATAGAAACATCAATGATGAGAGAGAATTATTGATCGGCTGCTTCCTGTATGCTCTCTACTGGGGATTGAGCCTACAACCCCGGGCATGTGCCTGACTGGGAATCGAACCATGACCTCCTGGTTCATAGGTTGACACTCAACCATTGACCCACACCGGCCAGGCAAGGTTAGCTTATTTTTTAAGCAAAAGGGGGAAAAGTTTAGTATATTTTTCCTATTTTCTCTATCAGGGAACTTGTTCAGCACTTACATCAGTGAACAAGGTGGATGCTGGGCCTTCTACTCCACTCAACAGCCCTTGTCACATGCAAGCTCCTTCCATTTCCCATAGACTAGTTTTTGAAAACTCATCACTTCCCTAAAAAACTGCGTTGACTTCATACTGTTTCATTCCATGGAAATCTTTAAAACATCATCTTCGTAGACCTCTCTTGTTCTTGACACTACTTTGTGGTCGACAGGGTCAACTAGTCACTTATCTTTGAAATGATCTACTCCTTTGGGCTTTCATGACACTATTCTCTCCTGGTTCTCTTCATCTTCCATAATCTTTTCCCTCCCCTTTAAGGAGTCCTCTTCTTTTGTCTGTCTCTTAAACATGAGCCGTCACTGGTCCACTCTTCTTTTGTATGTCTTTGTCTTGTAAGAATTCATACACACCCATGGCTCTATTAACAGTTGCATGCTGATGACTCCCATGACTATCTCTAGCCCTGAGCTCTTCCCTAAGTTTCAGACTCCTGAATCTAACCTGCCGAACAGACAGGCACACACATAAACACAGATACTTCTCAGTCACCTCACGTGTTCCAAACTGAACTCATCTTCCTTCCCCACCAAACTGGCTTTTCTGTATCCCAAACTTGGGCAATGGCTTAATATCCAGTCACTCTTAAAGCCAGAATCCTGGGGGTCATCCTAGGCTCCTCTTTGTCCCTCACTCTGCCCTGCAGGGTCCCTGGTCCCCAAGAGACTAAAAAAAACCCTGCTTATTTAGTTCCTCCACATTTTCTGGTGTGTTCTGTCTTTCCTTTCTGTTCCTACAATTATTTCACTTAGGTTCATAGTATCTTTTGCTTGGACTACTGCAATGCTTCTAAGTCCTGTTGCCCATCAATCTTTCCACTTCTTCAACCACAGTCATCTACCTACAATGTAAGTCTGACTATACCACCATAGAAGTGAAAATATTTCATTGATTGCCCTGGCTGCTGTGGTTGGAGCAATGATCTGTACACCAAAGGCGAGGGTTTGTTTCTGGTCAGGGCACATACCCAGGTTGCAGGTTTGATCTCTGGTCGGGGTGCATGTGGGCGGCAACTGATTGATGTTTCTCATCAATCTTTCTCTCTCTAAAATCAATACAAAATTTAAAAAATATTTCATGGACTAATCACCACATGGATGTAGCCCACTCCCCTTTGCATTTCATATATAGTAGTCTCTCCATATCTGCAGGGAATACATTCCAAGATACTTGAAACCATGGCTAGTACCCAAACATTTATATATTTTTTTCCTATCCTATAATAAAATTTATAAATTAGGCATAGTAAGAGACGAACAACAACATTAGAGTAAATCTAAAAATATACTGTAATAAATAATGTCAATGCGGTCCCTCTTAAAATATCCTCTTGTACTCTACTACTCGCCTCTTCACTTAAAGGAAGCACTTCCTGGCTTCTCTTTGGCATGTCCAAATAGCCAGCATCACTACTCTTACACTTTGGGGCCACAAGTAAGTAAAATAAGGGTGACAGGAACACAAGCATCGGGGTATGAGACAATCAATCTGGTAATTGAGGTAGATGCTCTAAGTGACTAACAAGTGGGAAAAGTGGAGATGTTGGACAAAGGCATGATTCACAGCCAGGGCAGAAAGGAATGGAATGGCATGAGATTTCATCACACAACTCAGCATAGCGTGCAACTTAAAATTTAGGAATTGTTTCTTTCTGGAATTTTCCATTTAATATTTTCGGGCCGTGGTTGACTGCAAGTAACTAAAACCAGGGAAAGTGAAACGGTGGCTAAAAGGATCTACTGGTCCCAGGACTCGGTTCTTTGCCCGTCTCTCCATCCCATCTCCCATTTTCCCCAACACAAACCTTCAGGGTACACTTGGCTCCTGCTAGTCTCCCCACCTAGTATGTCCTTTGCGGTTTTCTTCACCTGACTTACCTTTGCTCAGTTTTCAATACGTGGGCCCTATTTCCTTTAGAAAGTCCTCTGTGAACTCCAGGTTGGGTTATGTGTGCCACCTCTGTGCTACCAAAGCACCTTATACCTATCTTGATTTGTATCATTTACTTGTCACGTTAAAATTACACACTTACATGTCTTACTCACTAGACTAGTGGCTCCTCAAAAGCAGACCTTATCTGCTTCATCTTCAACTTCCCAAGGCTGAGCACCAAGCCGGACAGATAATAACAGTTCTGGATCTGAAATGAACTGATGCAGCTTTGCCTTAACCCTAAATCACGAGGAAACTATCATCTAAATCCAGTCATTAGTAAGGTTGCTGGGACCAGTACTTTCTCATATAATTTTTAGAGCTAGATGCGTCCTTAAAAGTATCATCTAGTACTGCACCTCTTGGCAATAGGTAAGCAAAGGAAACTCTGAAATCACAGGACCAATATGGTACGTCATCCTGGAGTATCAATGTCACCTAAAGATTTTGGGGAGTGTGACTTTCATGGTAAAACAGACAGAGGTGGATTTTAGAGTAGCATGCACATTCAGGCATGAAGAACGACTTCAGCTTATTCTAGGCCAGTGATGGCGCACCTCTGACACGCGTGTCAGAGGTGACACGCGAACTCATTTTTTTGGTTGATTTTTCTTTGTTAAATGGCATTTAAATATATAAAATAAATATCAAAAATATGTCTTTGTTTTACTATGGTTGCAAATATCAAAAAATTTCTATATGTGACACGGCACCAGAGTTAAGTTAGGGTTTTTCAAAATGCTGACACACCGAGCTCAAAAGGTTGGCCATCACTGTCTTGTCCTCAGCCAAGCCTCCATGTCGTGGGGGGACACATTCGACGGTGAGTGGTAGGGTCTGAGAAACACGAATGGACAGATCCTTGTTCTACACTGTAGTTTAGTTCTTGTCTAGAGCCTTTCATATAAAAATAAATAGCACCCGCGAGACTAAAGCACAGAAACAACCTCAAAAGCAGCCAGAAGAGAGAGGTTTTTCATCCTGGGCTTGGGTTGGGCAGCAGGTCTTCTGAAATAGCACATCACTGTGTTTTATTATTACAGAATAGTCCAGATGTTAGATAAAGGTAGGGGAGAGGACGCAGGAAAACAACATTAAAACAGAGCAAAGAGAAGGCTTGGGTTAAAGTGGGGGCCAGAGTGGGAGGAGAGGAAGGGCTGTAGAGGTGAGATGTGGAGCATGAAGAAAAAAAATCCCAAATAGGACTGTGGTTAAAGATGGCACTATCTGCAGCGTTTTTGGTGATAACCTAAACAGGGGTCCTCAAACTACGGTCCGCGGGCCACATGCAAATACAAATATTGTATTTGTTCCCGTTTTGTTTTTTTTACTTCAAAATAAGATATGTGCAGTGTGCATAGGAATTTGTTCATAGTTTTTTTTTTTTAAACTATAGTCCGGCCCTCCAACGGTCTGAGGGACAGTGAACTGGCCCCCTGTTTAAAAAGTTTGAGGACCCCTGACCTCAGACATTATTACATCTTTAGTAAAATGACATGGGGAGTTTCACCCCTGGAAGTTCTACCTGGAGTCCTGGTAGTTTGACAATTTCCTGGTCTGTTATCTTCCAGCAGTTCCATCTATCAACTCTGAGGATGAGGTAGCACCAGCCAAGGGGAAGTGACATAAAAAGATGCAGAAGAGCCCGGCCAGTGTGGCTCAGTGGTCGAGCGTTGACCTATGAACCAGGAGGTCACAGTTTGATTCCAGGTCAGGGCACATGCCCGGGTTGTGGGCTCGATCCCCAGTGTGGGGGGTGCAGGAGGCAGCCGATCCATGATTCTCTCTCATCATTGATGTTTCTATTTTTCTCTCCCTCTCCTTTTCACTCTGAAATCAATAAAAACATCGTTTTAGAAAAAGGTGCAGGAGAAACAGAGGAAACAGCAAGGGGACAAGTAGGAAGGGCGCATTTACAAAGGGTAATGAAGTCAAGCCACATTAATCCGGAGCGTATTATGCATCAGGCACTGTTCTAGGATCGGTGATGGGGGAACAGGGAGAGCAAGACTGAACCCCAGCCTTCGAGGAGTTTGCAAGTTTTCTTTGAAGGTGCCTGAGCAGGAGAAGCCCACAGTGGAAACCCCAGTATCTAATGCAGAGGCTTTCCAATGAAGAGGTCTTGGAAAGCGAGACCAGGAGTCATGCCTGTAACACGGTACCCGGGGTCTCCATGTGACCTAAAGCTTCCCCAGCCGAGAGCGATGAATCGGCCTCACGCTTTGACTCTCACGTCAGGCTTTACAAGGCGGAAAGGCATGGATTCCGAGAGTGACCTTCAGGGACAGAAATTCTCTCCCAGATCCTATAACCAAGAAATTCTCCAGAGGTTCTAGGACGATCTTTCCCCCGTAAAGCCTCCTAAAGAAAGATTACCAGGCGAATTATGCTTTTCCATCTCAACAAAATCTTCTCCGAAACAGCCTGTTAGGACAAATACTGGCATGAGATAGAGCAGTGATGGCGAACCTTTTGAGCTCGGCGTGTCAGCATTTTGAAAAACCCTAACTTAACTCTGGTGCCGTGTCACATATAGAAATTTTTTGATATTTGCAACCAGAGTAAAACAAAGATTTATATTTTTGATATGTATTTTATATATTTAAATGCCACTTAACAAAGAAAAATCAACCAAAAAAATGAGTTCATAGGTTCGCCATCACTGAGATAGAGCTTCTTCCAAGCCCCTGATTTATTCTGGGTCCCTAGGTATTTCATTCTGGGTGGGGAATGCATGTTTTGGAAATGCTTACTCCAAAACAATTATTTGTACATATGTACATTGCCTTAGAATCTCTTTTTATTTTTTAAAGCTTTTAAAAAATATATTTTTTTATTGATTTCAGAGAGAAAGGGAGAGAGATAGATAGAAACATCAATGATGACATAGAATCATTGATTGGCTGCCTCCTGCACGCCCCCTACTGGGGCGGGGTGATCTAGCCCACAACCCAGGCATGGGCCCTTGGCCAGAACAGAACCTGGGACCCTTTAGTCTGCAGGTGGATGCTCTATCCACTGAACCAAACGAGCTAGGGCACTTTTTATTTTTTTTAATAGGAAAGAACTCAGTCTTCATGGAAGCCTCTGATGGTCTCTGTGACAGACAGGGACGTGGAGGGACACACAGGTGACAGAAGCACCAGGTACTCTAACGTGGGTGGAGTCCAGAACGGAAGTCTGATTTTGAACCCTAGACCACCACTTAGCTTCCATAGAACAAGAATCTCTACTGTTAAAGAAATTACATAATAAATAAATCCAAGTTATTAGTGGCCTTTTCTCAAACAGCTAGAGATAGGGCCTTTTTAAAATTCTTTATTGATTAAAGGGCCTTTCTTTTTAAAAAATATATATTTGTATTGATTTTAGAGAGGAAGGGAGGGGGAGAGAGAGATAAAAACATCAATGATGAGAGAGAATCATTGATTGGCTGCCGCCTGCATGCTCCACAGTGGGGATCGAGCCTACAACTTGGGCATATGCCCTGACTGGGAACTGAACCATGACCTTCTGGTTCATAGGTCAATGCTCAACCACTGAGCCACACTGGCCGGGCTAGAGATAGGGCCTCTTTAATGAGAAACTGCTTATACTAGAAAACTGGAGACATAACAATAAGCCAGCAAAAAACTGTGCTCTGTCTGATCACCCTGCAATGAAGCTTGCCACTCTACAAACACCCCAAGACTGCATTTTAGTATGCCATTCTTGTTTTTAGTACACCATCCTTAAACTTGGACATCCTTAAGCTCCCCACATAAAAGGCAGAACCAAAAATAACAGAGAGACTTTGAAAATAAACAGACGCTGTAGGCAGCTGATGGAAACTTAAAAGTGTAGAAAAAATACCAGGTTAATATTCTCAGAGAAATCTGAGAAGAAATTGTATCCGTGAAATAAAAACAGGATGCCATAAAACAAAACATGTAGAAGGCTCCGTACCCAAATTAAAGCCCTTGGGAATTACACATATCATGGTAGAAGTAGAAAAATTTCATAGGAGGGCTTGGGAGATTTATTAGAACGAAAAGACAGGAGACAGCTTTGAACATGGGGAAAGATAAGCAACTCAGAGGGCGGATCCAAGAGACCCAACATCTAAGTAATTAATGTTTCAGAAAAACAGGCCAGAGGAAATGATATAACAAGAAAACCACCCAGAACTGCAGGATATGATTTTTAGATGGAAAAGAACTTGAAAGTACCTGAACAATGACTGAAACAAACAAACAAACAAACAAACAAACAAACAAACAAACACATCCTATCAGTAATTAATGACGTGGTGAAATATCAGAACAGGAGGAATATATATAGAAAAGAAAACTCTACAAACTCCCAGAGATTAAAACAAAATCCAAGGGACCAGAAGTCAGAATGGCATCACCTCAACAGCACTCCAAGGAGGCAGGAGAAAATGGAACAGTGATTTCAAAACTGAGAGGAAGCTATTTCCAGTTAATACCCTCTATCCAGCCACCATCCGCCAAGAACGAAGGAAGAAAACGGACATCTTAAATGCGTAACGTCTCAAAAAGCAGCCATGTCCTGTGGGGCCTGACTTCTATATAATTTGGGGAGCACTCTTTACGAAAAAAAAAATTCATAAAATTGCAAATAACAAAATTGGGGGTGAAAGTGAATATTTATTCAGATTGAGAAAAGAAATCACAAGAAATCGGAGCCATGGAGGTTCAGGACTCTTTTAAGATCTCTTTAGGAAATTTACCAAAAATGCTTCTTTTAGAAAAAAAATTTTTTATTGATTGAAGAAGGGAGAGAGATAGAGAGCGATAGAAACATCAATGATGAGAGACAATCATTGATTGGCTGCCTCCTACACACCCCACACTGGGGATCAAGCCTGCAACCCAGGCATGTGTCCTGACCGGGAATCGAACCGTGACCTCCTGCTTCATAGTTTGATGCTCAACCACTGAGCCACACCGGCTGGGCCCAAATGCTTCTTGGTGGCAACCTGGCTTTTCCTCCCCACCCAACACCTGGCAGCAGCTGTCAACCCTCCCAGGGGCCTATGAGCTTTGTAAGCTGCCGGATAACCCTGCTCTGTCTCTATGTGCCTTTTCTCGGGAAGCTGTGCTCCAGCAAAACCAAGGAGTGAGAAGGCATGGAATCCAAGGAACAGGAATCCAGGCATTCCCAGGCTGGCAGCGAGGGAGCTCCCAGTATCCCAGGGGCTCTGAGAACAGCCAGTCCCAGAGGGTGGGGGCTAAGCTGGGAAGTTTCCAAGAGAGAGAGAAAATCAAAGTGGCTACTTGATGCTCAACCACTGAGCCGCACCGGTAAAATTCTTCTGAGGGGAATTTTACCATCCTGTCAACGTTTGAACAAGAATTGGTAATGAAAACTCAAAAAAAAACTAAGCAAATTGAAGAAGGTGAAGCAATGACTAACTCCAGGGGATGGAAAAAGGTTGACCAGGAAAGAAGTGTAAAAATCATGATTTATTGCCCTGACTGGTGTGGCTCAGTTGGTCGATTACCAATTCCTGGTCAGGGCAGACCCCAGGTAGGACCTGCAAAGAAGGAGGGAATCAGTGTTGTGTTCTCACATGGATGTTTCTCTCTTCTCCCTCCTCTCTCTCTCAAAATCAATAAACTATTCTTTAAAAAAACATGGTTTATCATAAGGCACAGTTGTGAATAATATCTGCATAGTCATAATAATGTAAACACTGCTGTATTCAATGGAATACTACGCTGCGGTAAAAAAGGGAGTTCTTACCATTTGCAACAGCATGGATGGAACTGGAAAGCATTATGCTAAGTGAAATAAACCAGTCAGAGAAAGATAAATATCACATGATCTCACTCATTAGTGGACTATAATGAACAACATAAACTGATGAACAAAAACAGATCCAGAGACAGAGAAACATCGATCAGACCGTCAAACCTCAGAGGGAAGGTAGGGGAAGGTGGGGGTAAGGGGGAGAGATCAACCAAAGGACTTATATGCATGCATATAGGCCTAATCAATTGACACAGACAACAGGGGGTTGAGGGCATGAGTGGGGGTGGGGTGGGGGGGGTAATGTGGGGATAAGGACACATATCTAATAACTTAATAAAGAAATGAAAAAATAAACATTGCTGTATTAAACATAAGCAGAATATATTGGGATCTTGCAAGAAACAGAGGTCAATATGAGCTAGAATAAAGGAAGCCGAATCCTCATCCTCCAAGGTAGGAAGTTCACAGATAGTATCTAGACCTGGAAAAAGAAAAATTAATAGCCAGTAGCATGCTATTTGGCAATATGGTGGTAAATATTAGAAAAAAAAAAATAGCCCAAAGCATTACAAGTAGTCGCCTATAGGGGGCAGCTCAGTATAGGCTCCATAAAGACCTTAGAACTATACATTTACTTATGTTGACCAAAATATAAAATTTAAAAAAGTGAAGTAATGAAACAGGAATTTTAGGGGAATACAGGCAGGCTTAGGGAATTTTTAGAATTGGGGTCCATGGGAAAACACAGGGCTAGGGATTGGGAGAAGGTACATCTCCATAACACAAGCCAGGTGCAGTTACATTTCCATAAGACAAGGGAGGAGCAACAGGTACATCTCCATAACACAAGGAAGCCAGGTGCAGGGAGCAGCAACAGTTGCATTTACATAAGACAAGGGAGCTGGAAGTAGCCAAAAAGGTCTATATTTACAAAATGAAGAAGGAAGAAAGCCAGAAAGAAAAGAACAATGAGGGAGAAG